TATATCTAGGGAGAGCTACTGGATTCAGATTTGACTCTTTTTTTTTTTTTTTTGCGAGACTACTTCATAGGTGGTAGTGTGTTTTTCCATTGGGAAACGCATAATGTCTGATTTTGTACCTTTTTAGACATGCACAGCCATAGAAAATTATTGCAAAGGCTGGGCATGATGACTAATGCCTGTAATCCCAGTGCTTTTCGGGGCCAAGGCAGGTGGATTACCTAAGGTCAGGAGTTCAGGATTAGCCTGGACAGCATGGTGAAACCCCATCTCTACTAAAAAATACAAAAATTAGCTGGGCATGGTGGTGGGTGCCTGTAATCCCAGCTACTCTGGGAAGCAGAGGTTGTAGTGGGCTGAGATTGCACCATTGCACTCCAGCCTGGGCAACAAGAGCAAAACTCCATCTCAAAAAAAATTATTGCAAAATGATCACATTTTAATTATAAATGGCTTCTTTAATTATTAACTGGAATAGTTCATAAATTGTGAGCTATTTTTCCATGTGCAATTGGGTCTATTTGTATATTTTCCATTCTGCTCCATTCATCTATTCATGGCCAATGATATACTATTTTTCATAATAGAGACTTTGTAACATATTTAAATATTTGATTTTAATATTTGATAAGGCTAGGGTTTGTTTTCCTGGCTGTTCTTATTTGTTCTTCCAAATAAACTTTATAATAAATTTTTCTAACTCCAGAAAAAAATTAGTGACATTTTAAGGAACATATTAAATGTATAAATTAAAAGAGGATATGACATCTAAGCATCTTTATGATGTTGAATCTTCTCATCTGAGATCATGGTATAACTATTTGTTGATATTTATGTCTTTCAGAATATTTTATTATATTCCTATATTAGTTTGCTGTAGCTGCTATAACAAATTACCACAAACTTGGTGGTTTAAAACAGCAGAAATTTACTCTCACAGTTCTAGGGACCAGAAGTCTTGAATCCATTTTCCTGAGCCAAAATCAAGGCATAGGCTGACCCATGCTCCCCCTGGAAGCTCAAGGGAAGATATGTTCCTTGCCTCTTCCAATTTCTGGTGTCTGCCCACATTCCTTGACTTGTGACCACATCAGTCTGATCTCTCCCTCTTCCTCTATATTACTTCTTCATCTTCTTCATGTGTGTCGAATCTCTTTGTGTCTCTCTAAGAATATTTGTGATGGATTTAGAATCCACTGAGGTAATCCAGAATAATCGCCCCATATCAAGAAACTTAATTTAACCACATCTGCAAAGACCCTTTTTTCTTAAGGTAATATTTACAGGTTCTAGGGTGATATCTTTGAATATTCATTATTTAGTCTACTATAACTCTTCATATTGATTTTGGCATTTGAAAAATGTTTTGTTTTATTATATATATATAACCCCAGGCTAGAGTGCAGTGGAAAGATCATGGCTCACTGCAGCCTCAACGTCCCCAGGCTCAAGCGATCCTTTCACTTCAGCCTTCTCAGTAGCTGGGACTACAGGTGTATGCCACTGTACCCAGCTTATTCTTGTATTTTTATAGAGTTGGCGTTTTACCATATTTCCCAGGCTGGTCTTGATCCCCTGGGCTCCAAGCCATCTGTCCCCCTGAGCCTCCCAAAGTGCTGGAATTACAGGTATGAGTCATTGCACACAGCCAATATTTTGTTTCATTTTTTTTTCTGTTATGTAAACAGCATCTTCTTTCTTATCTCTTCTAACTAGTTTATATTTGTATATTCATTTTAATATATTGATTTTCATGACTTGCTATTTATGAAATTCTCTTACTAATGGTAGTAGCTTTTCAATGGATTATTTTGTGTTGTCTGTATTTATAATTACATCATCTGTATTTGAACATAGTTTTACCTCTTTCTTTCCAATTCTCATGTCCCCAATTATTTTCCCTTGTCTAATTGCATTGACTAGTATCTCCAATATGATGTTAAATATTAACAGTAATGAAGATATTAGGTATTCTTACCTTGTTCCTGTCTTTAGCAGAAAAGCTTCTACTGTTTCCCATTAAATAAGATACAAAGCATATTTTAATGTTCTTTTTAGGGACCATGTTTTTCTACATAATTTTAAAGGAAATTTATATTTAAAATGAGAAATATAAGCAGTTACCTTTATAAAGAATAATATCTTATTAGTGCTCTGTAGCTTTGAAAATGCTTTAAAATATTTAATTTATTTGGTTCTATGAGATAAAAAGGCAAATGTAGTATCTTAGTTTTATAGTTAAGTGAATGTTCAGGTAAGTTAAATAATTACCTAAGGTCATGCTGCTATAAATTGGTAGAGCCAGGACCAGGATCAAATATTTTATTTTCACTGCACTAGGGATATTCATTTTACTCAATATTTACCTTCATGAAGACTCTGAACAATGCATTTTATAAATACGAGTTTACATGAATAAGTTATTTTTCTTTTTAAAATGTGATTTTCATACAATTTTTGTCATTAAAAAATAAAGGAGAAAAAATACTTGAAACTTAAAAAGTAAATGTGACTTTTAATGGCTTACTGTATTAAATGATCGAGGT